TAGCCTTTGTGGGTGAAATCATCACTGATTAACATGCACAATTATGGGGGAGAAATCCACTAGCTGCTCAGAGGGAAAAGATAAGCAGTCTCCTTGGGTGAGATTTACAGCTTCTGACAACCTGCTGGAGGTCAGCTGTGTCTTCTGAATCAAGGACATGTAACAACAGCAACTCAGAAGCAACTCAGTGGTAGTAGTTTTGGATCTGAGGACATGGATGGCATCCTTGTTAATGGTCTTGGCTGCTAACTGAGAAGTTGGTGGTTCAAGGCTCCCCAAAAACACCTCAGAAGAAAGGCTTGGCTCTCTGCTGTTGTTGTCATTAGGTGCCATTGAGTCGAGTACAAACCGTAGCAACGCCGTGAACAACAGATCGGAACCCTGTCCTATCCTGTGCCATCCTCACACTTCCTGACACATTAGAGTCCATTGCGGCAGTCACTGTGTCAGTCCACCTGATCGAGGGTCTTCCTCCCCTTCGCCAGCCCTCTACCTTTCTGAGCATCATGTCCTTCTCCAAGGAATAGCCCCTCCTGACAACATGCCCAGAGTGTGTGTGAGGTGAAGCCTCTTCATCCTTGCCTCCAAAGAGCACTCTGGCTGCACCCTCTCCAAGACTTGTTTTGTTCTTTTGGCCATTCATGGGCTGTTTAACACTTCTCCAGCACCACAGCACAAAGGCATCAATTCTTCTGTCATCCTTATTCATTGTTCAGCTCTCAAATGCATATCAAGTGATTGGAAAGAAAATGGCCTGAATCAGATGCACCTTAGTCCACATGCCCGAAGTATGAGACAGAGCCTCAAAATCCTTGACTCCAGGGAGCAGCCTGGTTTCACCCTCTCCAGGACAGACCTGTTCTCCCGGCAGTCCACAGTATGTCCAGCACTCTTCCCCAGCACCACAACTCAAAAGCATCGATCCTTCTACCGTCTTGAGTTATTGCTCTCTGTGCAGTGCTTACTTGCTTAGTTACACTGTATTCTTTAGTTATTACTTGCTGTTTATCCCAGTGCAGTACGTCTCCTGATTTCCTGACTGCTGGTACCAGGAGGGTTCATTGTGGAGCCAAGTAAGGTGAAATCGTTGACAGTTTCAAGCCTTTCTTCATCAGTCATGATGTTATCAGTCCAGTGGTGAGAACCTTTGTCTTCTTGACATGACATGCAATCCATACTGAAGGCTGTATTCTCTGATCTCTGCGACAAGTGCTTCAGGTCCTCACCTTAAGTAAGGTTGGGCCATCTACATAACACAGGTTACTGATGAGTCTCCCTTTGATCCTGACGCCATACTCCTCTTCACAGAGTCCAGCTTCTCGACTAATTTGCGTAGCATACAGACTGAATAGGTTTGGAGGGAGGATACACCCTGACACGCTCCCTTCCTAATTTTAGACTGTGTAGTCCTCTCTTGCTCTGTTTGTACCGCAGCCTCCTCGTCTAGGTTTCGCATGTTAAGTGCTCTGAACTCCCGTTCTTTTCTCAGTATTAGCTTGGCTGTGTACTTCCTGAAAAATCGAACACTTCCAAAACAATTACCACTGGCACGTAGGGTCACGCCTGAGCGGGAGTCCCCTCGGCAGCAACTGGTGTAGTGGTTTCTTTTTCTTTTTTTAAACAATGTAGATTCCCTTGCTTAGGAGAAAACTGTGAGAGAGGAGGTAGTGAATGAAGCTTCTAGAGGAAGCCAGGAAAGATGGAGCCAGAGAATCATGATGAAAAGAGTGTCTCTTCCTGAGGCTGGACAGTGGGGATGGACTCAGGAATGCTTGGAAATGAAGACAGCAGAGGTGAACAGCGTGGCCGCTGAGCCCAGGTCTGGTAGCAGGGCCCTATAAGAGGTGATCAGTGATGGAGGGCAGTGGTGAGAGGGAGGTAATGTCCAGAGTCAGACACCGACACTGGATGGCTCAGCAGTAGTCACCTCTCTGCCAGACAGAAGGCCCGCTGCCCTTGACCTCTTTGCTGGATGGAAGGTCTGCTGCCCTTGACCTGCCGGACGGAAGGTCCACTGCCTTTGACTTCTTTTCTGGACAGAAGGCCCACTGCCCTTGACCTCTGCTGAACAGAAGGTCTGCTGCCCTTGACCTCATTGCCGGACAGAAGGCCCACTGCCCTTGACCTCTGCTGAACCAAAGGCTCACTGCCCTTGACTTCTTTGTCAGACAGAAGGCCCGCTATCCTTGACCTCTTTACTGGACAGAAGGTCTGCTGCCCTTGACCTCTTTACTGGATGAAAGGCCCGCTGCCCTTGACCTCTTTGCTGGATGAAAGGCCTGTTGTCCTTGACCTCCTTTCCGGATGGAAGGTCCACTCCCTTGACCTCTTTGCTGGGTGGAAGGTCTGTTTCTGCAAACCTGCACCAGCTTCGACAGTGCCCCCACGAGCCCCTGCAGGTGTCACAGCTGCTGGCCATAGGGTTTCATGGCTGCTTTTTCTCCAGAAGTGGGTCAGCTGGTGTTTATTGCTGGTGGCTCAGATGTGTTTGCCTCCACCCCAGGCCCTGCAGATCACCCTCCTCGCCTGCTCTCTGTTGTTCCTTCATGCATTATTGATGACTTTGTTTATTCCCACTATCGGGCTCACTCCAGGCTGCGCGGCTGCTCCGGAATGATGGTCTTGTAGATTTCTGATGTCGGAGTGGGGATGAGTTGTGGGTGTGGAAGAATGGCGCTTTCTGGAGAGATTCACAGACGTAGGAATTTAGCAGAAAAAATGTGATCGGTCTGTGAATCGTGCCACACAGTCTCCCTCTCAGAAGGCGGTCAGAATGTTTAAACAAACCGAAACCCCCAACTTGTTGCCTCCCGATTGACCCTGACCCATAGTGACCCGACAGGACAGAGCAGAGCTGCCCCGTAGGGATTTCTGGGCTGTTGTACTCTTTACCAAAGTTGTTGTTAGATGATGTTGAGTTGGGTACAACTCATAGCATCCCTGTGAACTACAGATCTAAAACCTGTCCTATCCTGTGTCTTCCTTATTATCTTGGCTCTGTGTGATCCCGTTGCAGCAGACACGGTGTTTGTCCATCTCACTCAGTGATCCTGCTCCTCCCCAAGCACGGTGTCCTTTCCCAGGCGGTCGCCTCTCCTTTTAACATGCCCACAGCACGTGAGACAGAGCTCCACCAGCCTTGCCTCTAAGGTGCACTCCAGAGGCTCCACTTTCTCCCTGTTTCATGCCTGGTCCTTTGGCAGTCCATCGGCTATTTAGTACTCTTCTGTCCTCCTCCTGTCATCTTTATGCACTGTCCAGTTCTCAGTGCGCAGCAAGTGATTGAAAAGATTATGGCTTGAATCAGACACACCTTAGTCTTTAAGATGACGTTGTTGCTCTTCAGTACTTTAGAACGGTCTCTGACAGCGGACTTTTCCAGTGCAATCTGCCTTTTGTTTTCTTGGCTGCTGGTGCCGATGATGTTGATTGCCCTGTCTTTCTCCCAAGGATTCACACTGTTTACCATTCGTTAGCAGCTGGTGTTGAAGCAGTGTGACTGCTGATACCAAGGGTGTTGATGGTGGATCCAAGTAGGATGAAATCATTGACAAATTTTTTTTCTCTATTATGAGGTTGCTTATCTGTCTAGTGGTGAGGATTTTTGTGTTCTTGATGTTGAGATGTAATCCGTAGTTACCAGAGAGTTGTGTATCCTGAAATCCTTCAGAGGCTGAATATAAACACAGATTGTCTGTCCACACAATGGAGCATTGAGCAGCGATACAAAGGGATGAACTGACAAGCCGTGACAAGGCTCCCGTGCCAAAAAAACCCCGAACCCCTGCTGTGCAGTCGGCCCCGTTGGGTTTCTGAGGCGCTGGGAGGACACCGCCCGTCTTTGGTCCACAGAGCTCTTGGTGGATTTGAAGCGCTGACCCTTTGGTTAGCAGCCCAAGCACGATGCACTGTGCTGCCAGGTCTCCTCCGCCTTAAATGCATGTTGCTAAAGGCATGAGCCAGTCTACAAAGACTACTATGTGAGTCCAACCACCGGAGATGTTAGGGAAAGGAAAATCTTAGCAATCAGGGCTCAGAGGGGACTTGAGGGGTGGTGGAATGAGGAGGAGGTGAGATCAGAGCATTTTAAAGGACGGCTAAGCAGTTCTGAAGTCTTCTGGCCAAAAACCCAGACTGTGCACCATGAACTTGAACCTTGGTGTGAGGTCGGAGGTTTCATGATAACAGTGTGTCAGGTGTTGGCCAACCATTTACAGTCCACTTTGCACAGGACCTGTGGGCAGGAAGGACGGTTTTATGGCAATACTCTTTTTTATTTTATTTTATTATTTTTTTGTGTGTACCATCAAATCAGATCTGATTGGTACAGGAAGAGATTGCCCCTCTTTCTCTAGTAGAGCATCTGGTGAATTTGAACCACATACCTCTGGGATTGCAGTGCAGCTTCTTGCCACTAGGCCACTAGAACTCCCCCCTCACTGTTTCTCTATAAACTGCAAACAGCTCTGAAAGCCAAAAACCCACTGCCAGTGAGTCAGTCCCCACTCAGGGTGGCCTGAAGGACAGAGTGGGCCTGCTCTTTAGAGTGTCCGAGGAGTTGGAGTCAATGCTGCAGGTGGCCTCATCTTTCTTTCAAAGAACAGCTGGTGGATTTGAACTACCAACCTTTTGGTTAGCAGCCAGAGCATTATCCATGCCACGGGGCTCCTTAGAAACAAAGGGCTGTTTTACAGTGATGGGCAGAGTCCTGGTGCGCACTGACTTTGCGTCTGGACCTCTGCTGTGTTCCTGGCTCTGCCCTCTGAGTCTCCACCCTCCCGGTGGAGTCAGTGACTCTTGGGGCTGTGTGATCCCCCAGACTGAGAGGCCTCCCCGCCTTGGAGTAGGCAGAGGCCCTCGCCCCGTGCCGGCTGCCCACTGCACTAGCCTTGTGGCAGAAGGGCTGTTCTGGTGGCGGGAGGGCCGACCTGGTGGCGGGAGGGCTGGCCTGGTGACTGGAGGGCTCGCCTGGTGGCTGAAGCCCTGACATCTCTTCTCCTGTCTTTGCAGGCATGGCCTCACATGTGCAGGTTCTCTCCCCGCCCACCCTCCAGTCAAGTGCCTTCTGTAGCGTGAAGAAACTCAAAGTGGAGCCGAGTTCCAGCTGGGACATGACCGGCTACGGCTCCCACAGCAAAGTCTACAGCCAGAGCAAGAACGTGCCACCGGCCCAGCCAGCCACCGCCGCCGTCAGCGTCTCCTTGCCCGTCCCAAACCCCGGCCTCCCTTACGACCAGACTGTCATCTTCCCGGGCAGCACCGGCCACATCGTGGTGACCTCAGCCAGCAGCACTTCCGTCCCCGGGCAGGTCCTCGGGGGGCCCCACAACCTGATGCGTCGGAGCACCGTGAGCCTGCTGGACACCTACCAGAAATGCGGCCTCAAGCGTAAGAGCGAGGAGCTGGAGAACACGAGCAGCGTGCAGATCATCGAAGAGCACCCGCCCATGACCCAGAACAATGCCAGCGGGGCCACGGTCGCCACTGCCGCCACCTCCACCGCCACCTCCAAGAACAGCGGCTCCAACAGCGAGGGCGACTACCAGCTGGTCCAGCACGAGGTGCTGTGCTCCATGACCAACACCTACGAGGTCCTCGAGTTCCTGGGCCGCGGCACCTTCGGGCAAGTGGTCAAGTGCTGGAAGCGGGGCACCAACGAGATCGTGGCCATCAAGATCCTCAAGAACCACCCGTCGTACGCGCGCCAGGGCCAGATCGAGGTGAGCATCCTGGCCCGGCTGAGCACCGAGAGTGCTGACGACTACAACTTCGTGCGGGCCTACGAGTGCTTCCAGCACAAGAACCACACGTGCTTGGTCTTCGAGATGCTGGAGCAGAACCTCTACGACTTCCTGAAGCAGAACAAGTTCAGCCCACTGCCGCTCAAGTACATCCGCCCGGTCCTGCAGCAGGTGGCCACGGCCCTGATGAAGCTCAAGAGCCTGGGCCTCATCCACGCCGACCTCAAGCCCGAGAACATCATGCTGGTGGACCCGTCCCGGCAGCCCTACAGGGTCAAGGTCATCGACTTTGGCTCCGCCAGCCACGTGTCCAAGGCCGTCTGCTCCACCTACCTGCAGTCCAGATATTACAGGTAAGGCCACCGCGGAGACGGTTGGGGATGAGGACATCCAGCAAGAACGGGCCTCGGGGATCCTCACAGGGCAACGAGTCCACACACCTGCAGCCACTGCCTCCAGTGGCTTTGACATGGTGAGGGACGGGGACCCGAGTGTGTGGGAGTGACCGCTAGGAGTCAGGGGAGAGGCTGGTGCCTTAAGCTTCCAGGGAGAAAAGGGGAAGGGAGGAGCCTGTGTGACCGAAGGGAGGGCTGGCCATGAGGTCATCACTGACCAGGGTGGAGGACTCGAAGGCATGGGGAGGAGCACATTATCGAAGGTCTTAAATGCTGGGCTGAGGAGGTGAAGACAAATTCTTAACCACTGAGCACACACTGGAGGCTTTCACAGCAGGGCAGAGTTTTACAAAGCTAGTTAACAGCACGGGAAAGGTGCCGTCCCACAGAGAGACCCTGGCCCGGGAGACCTCTCAGCTTGCTCTGCGAGAGTGCTTTGTGAATTTTAGATGGGACAACAGATGAACCACAGTGCCCTTGGTGGGGACATACTAAAGACCTGTCCACTCATCCATGACCTTTGGGTGTGTACTGGGCCAGCGTTGGCCATGAGGTCAGCTAGGACGGAGTAGAAGCTGGCCTCTGCTTTGAGGCCTCATTTGCTGGCTGTGTGAAGTGGGTAAAGTGCATCCTCTCTGAGCTTGTTTCCTGACCTCTCACCTGGAGCTAAGAGCTCTATTGGATAAAATGTGGAGGTTCGTGTCCCCCGGTTCCCCACAAGAGAAGGGTGAGGTGGTCCACTCCTGTAGAAATGCCAGCCCAGGAGACCGTCGAGTCCAGTTCTGCCCAGGCCTGCAGGGTGGCTGTCGGAATCTACTCACAGTGTTAGCGGGTCATCCCACTGATGTTCTAGATGTCACTTTGCACCTTTGGCCGAATGAGGGGCCATGACCTCTTGCTCACCTGTGTCCGCTGACATCCATGAGACACCAACTGTGGAAATTGTAGAAAGACTTACAGGGTCAGTGTAAGAGGCAGAAGCCTCGTAGCACTGTGGGCCAGGCGTTTGACGGCTAACTGTAAAGTCATCCACAGTTTGAGCCCACCCGCAGTCCTTGGAAACTCCATGGAGCAGTTCTTCCCTGTCCTCCAGGGTCACCAGGAGGCAGGATTGACTCACAGGCGAGGGTTTTGGTTGGTTGGTGGATTTGAAGGCCGTGTGAACTCATCCTTGCTTTGAGCCCACAGGACCCATCTCACACAGCCCCCCAGTGCTACGCCTCCCCCAAGTCTGTCCTGTGCTGGAGGTCAGGTCCTTGGGCGTGAGGAGGCTTCTGCTGACTGAGTCAGCTTGGAAAGCATCAGGTGTGGAGTGAGCTTTTCTGTCCAGGGCCCATTCACGCCCTCCTCTCTCTCACCTCACAGAAAGCGCATGGCCAGTGAGCTGATTCCCACTCACAGTGACCCGTCCTTAGACGAGCGGAACTGCCCCCAGGGTCCCTGAGTCTCTGGGACAGTGAACTGCCACATCTCTTCATCCAGCAGAGTAGCTGGTGGGTCCAGCCCGCCTCGTGGGCCGCAGCCGAGAAGCTGTACCTCTGGCCTTTTGAGTGGTGTCTGAGCGCTTTAACCACTGTGCCACAGGGGCTCCTCATCTCACAGGCGGCCCCCTCACTCCAAGGTCTGGTCACTGTGAGGTCAGCCTTCGTTGGCCCAGGTGGCTGCTGTCTGCATTCCAGAGTGGTGGAACCTTCTCCTCCAACTCTGTCCGGAGAGGGCACATCTCCAGGCCCCCCGGCCTCTGCTGCCCAGGAAGACCTCAGTATAAAGTGTGGCCCTAAACTGGCTTCTGTGCCCACCCCCTGCCTCGGGGGCCCTGGAGGCTGTGCTCCCACGAAGGTCACTGTGCTCCCACGAAGGTCACTATCGGCCGTAGGGCTGTCCTGGCTGTGCAGGCTCCCACGGCCACCTCCCTCAAGCAGTCCAGTTCCTGGATTGCCCAGCCGCAGCGGGAAGGACACACACTTCCTTGGCCGTCCTGGGTGGAGGCCCCGGGGAGCAGAAGGCGGTGTTATCAGCACCCCGAAAACAAGCTGCTGGAGTCTTGTGAGGGAGAGGTCACTGGTGTGGGCACTGTCTCTGGTGGCCGTCCAAGGCTGTTTCCCACCCATCTGCCCCAGGCCATACAAACTTGTCTTGTGCTCCCTGCTAACCTCACAAGGTTAAAGGTTCAAGTCCACCCAGAGGTACCTTGGAAGAGGGGCCTGGTGATCTTCTTATAAAGGGGCCGTTAGAAGCCACAGGAAGCACAGTTATAAGCCAGTCTTCATGGGGTGGCCATGTGGGGCACGTGTCCCGCCCGTAATGTGTCCTAGCCCACCACCCCACCAGCTTCCTGACCTAGAGACTAGCAGCAGTCTGCAGAGCTGGTCCTGCCCTGGCCTGGGGCCTGGACAAGTGGCCACATGGCGGGCAGGGACCGTTCTCCTGTGTCAGCGTGGACACCTGAGCTTCCATCAAGGCTCACTGGGCGGCCAGGACGCAGAACTGGCTCTGGTGATTTTCTTCAGCTGCTTTGCTCTCGGGAGTGCAGCTTGGAGGCCCCTCAGGGTGTGGGCTCAGTCCCCCTTCTGTCATCTCATGCAGAGGCCTCGGCTCAGTCTCCGTGTCCCCTCACGTTGTCCACACCTAGCCATCTGTCACATGCTCCCATCTGGAGTCCACGTGGTGAGGACCAGCCCTGGTGGCTCACTCTGGCCAGGGATGGCATCGTCTCCTGACCTTGGCCTGGAACCGAGTTCCCTGACCTTGGAGCCACCCATGGGAATGGGGCTCATACCTCAGTGTGGCTTTGCAGGTCAGAGATGAAGTCACTGCGGAGACGGCACAGTTATGAAGGGGGTGTGAGTGACCTTTCAGAACGGGCCCTCGTGAACTGTGAAAGCACCCAGGTGCTGGCAGGTGGATGGAGTTACCATGTCACCAACCTCGACACAGTAGGACATCCTGGGCGAGGCTTGGACAGCAGGACCTGGCAGGATCCCAGTTTGTCCCTCACTCCTCACGTGAAGACAGCAAGAAGGGGGTCAGTCACACCAAATCCACACATGCTGCCGGCAAGTCAGTTCACTCTCCTGAAAACTGCCCATCTGTCTCCTGGACTGCAGTGGGTGGGTTTGAACCATTGACCTTTTGGCTAGCAGCCTGACGTACTACAGACTCCTCCCCCAGAACTCCTACTTGTTCATATCGGGGTGTTGTGAGAGCACATTGGTCCTGGGAGGCACTTCAAGTGCGGACAGATTTCAAGGCCGTGGCTCCTGTCTGTGAAGACGTGGTCACTGCCATCCGGCTGCTGGCCCGCCCTCACTGTGCCTCACGTCCCTCTCTAGGACCTTGAGCCGTCAGGTGACGTAATGTGAAGTTAACTGGGTCGTGGGCTACAGTCCTCTGGTGATGTACCTCTTGGCTGCTAACCAGTTGGCAATTCGAGCCTCCCCAGTGACTCCATGGGCGAAGAAACTGCTTCTGTGAAGATCACGGTCCAGGAAAGCCCTGCAGCGGTTCTGCTCCAGCCCAGGTGCCCGGGGGTGGCCTCTTCCTGGGCAGGTCAGAGGGGAAGTTGAGAGAACAGTGTCCCTGAGAGCAAGACCCAGGATGCCGCTGGAAGCCGGTGGTCTGTCAGAGAGGTGCAGGGTGAAGTCAAGGAGCGTGACACCCACTGTGGGGGACCCTCTTCAACAGAGCACCTCGAGGGAGAACAGGGGTCTAGGCTGGTTTCCAGTGGAGGGCCACCCTCTCCACTCCTTTAGACTGGACAGGTGAGGCCAGACCTGGACGCCCAAGGCAGTGGGGCAAGGTCTGTCACAGGGCTGGTGTCCATGGCCACAGTGCAAGTCAGAAGGCAGGAGTTGACCCCAGAGATGCAGGACGTGTGTCCGTCATGGAGCCCCATGACCTGCACTGTGTGCCTGCAGATTGAAGAACGGGCCTAGTGCTGGGCTCCGACCAGAGCTGCTGATGGGGGTTTGGGCCCCTCCTTCTCCCTTTGGGGCTGGCGATCTGCCGTCGGAGGTGGGGACAGACTGGGCAGCGGCTGACTCCCCAAAACGGTCAGGTGCTCCATACGGAGTGAGTCAGGCACAGGAGGGCGAGGGACAGCCCGCCTGCAAGTGGAGGGCCGACGGAGGAGGAGCCGCTGGTCTCAGGGGCCCCCTGTACACTAAGGCTCAGCGCACAGCCGTGCCCGCAGACCTATGCCTGTGTCCTCACGCTTCCCTGCCCTGGACCCCCATGCACCATCACTGAGCCTGCATCCTAAGGCTCACCACACCGGTCTCCAGAGAACAGGCACCTGTCAGAATGTCAGTTCCCACCTGTGGGGTACTGTGTGAACGCGAAGACAGCTGACTCAGTTCCTAGCACATCAGTCCCCGGGATCAGCCAGAACCTGTCATGTCGTTTTACACCTTGTCAGGAACCTAGAACAACCTCTCAGCCCGAGGAGGGGCTGAGCACAGTGCTGGCGGCACCGCAGGAGACCAGAGGGGCCGTCCACCCGTGGCGCTGCCCACCTCTTCCCGGCGTCACACACAGGGGAGGCACATCTTCGATCCGAAGGAAGCAGCATTTCCTGGAGAGGAGGAGGCTGGTCACAAGGCAAGGCATCTCCCGCATGAACTTCAACCCAAAGCACAACAAAAAGTTCAAAAACAGTCAAGTGAAAAGGCCCCACAGAAGGGGACAAGATACTTGCAAGTTGTATGTGTACCAAGAGAATTGTATCTAAAAGAAACCAGGCAACTTATCAGTAAAAATTAAAGCCCAGGTGCTCCACGTGTGTCTGGCAGGTGATAGGCACTCGGTACCTGTTCACTGGCCACCATCTGGTCATCTCCGATGCAGGGTGGCTCATGTGCGCCCGCGTGGACTGTGCCCCTACATCTCAGTGCGTTTATTCCAAGGCACTTCTGGGTGCATTTGAACCTCCCACCTTCCCGCTAGCAGCTCCGCCTGTT